GAACACTCAGGCAAGAGCACAATCTGGACCTAAAATAATAACTACAACATTTTACTTTATAAAGCTCCTGTCACACTGTCTGGAATGGGTCACAACCATGAGTGCCAACCTCATGGCAGTGGCAGACTGTCAAAAAGCAGGGCCAAGTCAATACTTTAGTGTTTTTTCACAATGTTTCATGCTTCACACTTTGCTAGCAGCCACACAAATCATTAGCCAAAAGAGTAGCATCTGATAGTTTTTGCTCAAAATGACAGCAATGATGAGTCCCATTACTTTTCCTAACAATTCCCAAACATTTTGGGCCACCTGTGAATATAAAGATATTATGAAACCTTGCAACGGACTTACAAAAATCAGTTGCTTAATGGAGACCATCTTGTCATAAAGGGGAAGCAGAACTGTATTCAGTACATTGGGGAATGCTTTGGGGTGGTTCCTTAAAACAGGAGTTTACTTAATAAAGATGGTACCTTGTACAAATTTCATCACAGTAAATCAGAACAAAAAACAACGACTAATAATTAATTTATTTATGATTTTTTTGTCTATCCAGATTTCAATAGCCACAAATCCCTGTCTGACTCACGATCAGTTTTCTGTTGATGTTTTTTGGAGCTTCCAGCTGAAATGACACCAGTGGGAAATGGTGGAGAGTAAGGCTCAGAAGAAAAAAAATTTAGACTAAAAGTTTGATCTAGATTACGTTTTTCTTTGATTCCCATCTGTCAGCGCAACAATGATGATGAAGACAAATGAAATCTTTTCCATTCTTCATTTGATCTACGGTCTAATATTTGCCAAGTGTATGAGCATAAGCCCTTGGCATGTGTGTGGCATGTGACCTTGGCTTGTGCGTGCCATGTGCCCTTCACTTGCACTTGTCAATGCTAGCTACCCTCATTAGCTTTAGCATGCCAACGAAGGCAAGGTCCCAGGGCATAGCAGAAGCAGGACATACTAAGAAACATTCTGTGTCCAATGCAAACCATCTGTTTTTCTGTCATATGATATTTGGAATTGGAAGAGCATTCGTCACCAATTTATTACCTTGTTAACATAATCTAGGATTTGTATGGGGTGAGTTCCACAGATAGTATCTCTGCATAGTAAACAACCACTCCTGTAAGGGGTGGTTTTGCTTGCAGTTGATCCCAGCAACTCACTCAGTTCTCACTAGGGGCTCTAGCAGGAGGTGCTACGCCGGTGAGTCTCAACCTCACTACAGGGGGACTTCAATCACCCTGACATCTGCTGGGAGAGTAATACAGCAATGCACAGACAATCCAGGAAGTTTTTGGAGAGTGTTGGGGACAACTTCCTGGTACAAGTGATGGAGGAATCGACTAGGGGCCGTGCTCCTCTTGACCTGCTACTTACAAACAGGGAAGAATTGGTAGGGGAAGTAGAAGTGGGTGGCAACCTTGGCAGTAGTGACCATGAGATGGTTGAGTTCAGGAACCCGACAAAAGGAAGAAAGGACAGCAGCAAAATAGGGACCCTGGACTTCAGAAAAGCAGACTTGGACTCCCTTAGGAAACTGATGGGCAGGATCCCCTGGAAAGCTAATATTAGTGGGAAAGGAGTCCAGGAGAGCTGGCTGTATTTTTAAAGAAGCCTTATTAAGGGTGCAGGAACAAACCATCCCAAAGTGCAGAAAGAATCGCAAATATGGCAGGCAACCAGTTTGGCTTAACAGTGAAATCTTCAGTGAGCTTTAACTCAAAAAGGAAGCTTAAAAGAAGTGGAAATTTGACTAGGGAGCAGTTTAAAAATATTGCTAGAGCATGCAGGGGTGTAATCAGGAAGGCCAAAGCACAGTTGGAGTTGCAGCTAGCAAGGGGATGAGAAGAGTAATAAGAAGGGTTTCTACAGGTATGTTAGCAACAAGAAGGTGGTCAGGGAAAGTGTGGGGCCCTTACTGAATGGGGGAGGCAACATAGTGACAGATGACATGAAAAAAGCTGAAGTACTCGATACTTTTTTTGCCTCGGTCTTCACAGACAAGGTCAGCTCCTAGACTGCTGCACTGGGAAACACAGTATGGGTAGGAGGTGAGCAGCCCTCAGTGATGAAAGAACAGGTTAAGGATTATTTAGAAAAGCTGGACATACACAAGTCCAGGGGTCCAGATCTAATGCATCCAAGGGTGCTGAGGGAGTTGGCTGATGGGATTGCAGAGCCATTGGCCATTATCTTTGAAAATTCATGGTGACTGGGGGAAGTTCTGGATGATTGGAAAAAGGCAAATGTAGTTCCCATCTTTTAAAAAAGGTCTCACTTCAGTCTCTGGCAAAATCATGGAGCAGGTCCTCAAGGAATCCATTTTGAAGCACTTGGAGGAGAGAAAGATGATCAGGAACAGTCAACAGGGATTCACCAAGGGCAAGTCATGTCTGACCAACCTGATTGCCTTCTATGACAAGATAAGTGACTCTGTGGATATGGGAAAAGCGGTGGACGTGTTGTTCCTTGACTTTAGCAAAACTTTTGATACAATCTCCCACAGTATTCTTGCCAGCAAGTTAAAAAAATATGGATTGGACGAATGGACTATAAGGTGAATAGAAAGCTGGCTAGATAGTTGGGCTCAATGGGTAGTGATCAACAGCTTGATGTCTAGTTGGCAGCTGGTATCAAGTGGAGTGCCCCAGGGGTCGGTCCTGGGGCCAGTTTTCTTCAACATCCTTATCGATGGTCTGGATGATGGGATTAATTGCACCCTCAGCAAATTCGCAGATGACACTAAACTGTGGGGAGAGGTAGATAAGCTGGAGGATAGGGATAGGGTCCTGCATGACCTAGACAAATTGGAGGATTGGGCCAAAAGAAATCTGAGGTTCAGCAAGGACAAGTGTAAAGTCCTGCACTTAGGAAGGAACAATGCCATACACCGCTGCAGGCTGGGGACCGACTGGCTGAGCAGCAGTTCTGCAGAAAAGGACCTAGGGGTTACAGTGGATGAGAAACTGGATATGAGTCAGCAGTGTGCCCTCGTTGCCAAGAAGGCCAATGGCATATTGGGCTGTATTATTAGAAGCATTGCCAGCAGATTGAGGGAAGTGATTATTCCCCTCTGTTCGGCACTGGTGAGGCCACACCTGGAGTACTGCGTCCATTTTTGGTCCCCTCGCTACAGAAGGGATGTGGACAAATTGGAGAGAATTCAGCGCAGGGCAATGAAAATGATTAGGGGGCTAGGGCACATGATTTATGAGGAGAGGCTGAAGGAACTGGCGTTATTTAGTCTGCAGAAGAGAAGAGTGAGGGGGGATTTGATAGCTGCTTTCAACTACCTGAATGGAGGTTCCAAAGAGGATGGAGCTGGGCTGTTCTCAGTGGTGGCAGAACAAAAAGCACTGGTGTCAAATTGCAGTGTGGGGGGAGGTCTAGGTTGGATATTGGGAAACACTATTTCACTGGGAGGGTGGTGAAGCACTGGAATGGGTTACCAAGGAAGGTGGTGGAATCTCCATCCTTAGAGGTTTTTAAGGCCCAGCTTGACAAAGCATTGGCTGGGAGGGATGATTTACTTGGGGCTGGTCCTGCTTTGAGCAGGGGGTTGGACTAGATGCCCTCCTGAGGTCTCTTCCAACCCTAATCTTCTATGATTCTATAAGACGTGAATGGGGAATGACAGGGTCTGTCAAGGTTCCTTCCCCACTCTGAACTCTAGGGTACAGTTGTGGGACCTGCATGAAAACCTCCTAAGCTTACTTTTATCAGCTTAGGTTAAAACTTCCCCAAGGTACAAACTATTTTACCCTTTGCCCTTAAACGTTTGGTGGTGGTAGTGGAAGTCCATCTGGGTTTATTTATTAGGAAAGCGTTATTTGGAAACGTCTTTCCCCCCAAAATCCTCCCAACCCTTGCATCCCACTTCCAGGGGAAGGTTTAGTAAAAATCTTCACCAATTTGCATAGGTGACCACAGACCCAAACCTTTGGATCTTAAGAAGAAAGAAAAAGCATTCAGTTTCTGAAAAGAAGGATTTTAATAGAAGTAAAAAGAATCACCTCTGTAAAATCAGGATGATAAATACCTTACAGGTAATTAGATTCAAAACATAGAGAATCCCTCTCGGCAAAACCTTAAGTTACAAAAAGAGACACAGACAGGAATAAGAAAAGGAGTACTTGTGGCACCTTAGAGACTAACCAATTTATTTGAGCATAAGCTTTCGTGAGCTACAGCTCACTTCATCGGATCTGAAGTGAGCTGTAGCTCACGAAAGCTTATGCTCAAATAAATTGGTTAGTCTCTAAGGTGCCACAAGTACTCCTTTTCTTTTTGCGAATACAGACTAACAAGGCTCTTACTCTGAAACAGACAGGAATATCCATTCTATTCAGCACAGCTTAATTTCTCAACCATTTAAAGAAATCATAATCTAACGCATATCTAGCTAGATTACTTACTAAATTCTAAGACTCCATTCCTGTTCTGTCCCCGGCAAAAGCATCACACAGACAGACACAGACCCTCTGTTTTTCTCCCTCCTCCCAGCTTTTGATAGTATCTTGTCTCCTCATTGGTCATTTTGGTCAGCTGCCAGCGAGGTTACCTTTAGCTTCTTAACCCTTTACAGGTGAGAGGATTTTTCCTCTGGCCAGGAGGGATTTTAAAGGTGTTTACCCTTCCCTTTATATTTATGACAGGGTCCGAGGAGGGGGAGGTGCTGAGGCGATGTAGGCAACAGATGAAGCCAGAGAATGGAGCTAGCTGGGATGAGGGGAGTGAGGGGATCTAAGAGAGGGAAGGGACCGGGGACTCTGAGGGAAGGGCACGCTGCTGTCTCTGCCCCCACCAGCAGGGTGCGGTCTCTGGACACCTCGCCCCGCGAGCTTTAGGACTTTGCGCTGGGTCGGTCGGCTTTGGGCAGGGAAGGCTCGAGCGGGAAAGAGAGGACGCCACCCCATTGGCTGCCGTCTACTTCTCACCTCGTGATTGGCGTCCGGGTGCCCTCCTGTGGCGCAGTCGTTATCGCCCTTAGCGGTGGAATGGCGGCTGCGGCCGAGGACGGCCGTGTCTGGCTGGGGCGGAAGGTTTCAGGCTCTGTCTCGGAGCCGGCTGGGACGCTCCCGTGTTCCGGCACCGAGACGTGGCCGCTCAAGCGCTACGGCCGCTTTGTCTCCCCGGGAGCCCCTCCCTGCGGGATGGGAGCTTCGGCCTCCTGGAAGGTGAGGCCTGGTTTGTGCGCTGGGTGTCCCGGGTGGAGCTGCACTCACCGTCACTGCCCTGATTCCCGGCAGCCTCAGTACTTGCCCCCAGACGCCCGTGTGTCCGCCCCATCTTGCAGGGCCCCGCCTCCTCTCCTGCGTACCCTCACTCCGTGCCCCAGCCTCTCTGGACCCCCTAGTCTCTTGTATACCCTCAGTCTGTGCGCTGTAGCTGCCGAGTCTTCCTCACACCCTCGCTTTGTGGTCCTTTGTCACATCCCATAAACTGCATTTAAACATATCTTACAATTAAACAGTATTTGTTACCCACTGACTTTATGGATGTTTCCAACTTGAATGGGAAGCAACAGGATGGACATGAAGTGTGGGAGAGAGAAATCTGCAGAGGACATGGTGGTGGGTAGGAAATAAGGATAAGGCGTTTTAGATTATAAATAGGGCCCTACCTAATTCACAGGAAAAATGTGAAATGGACCATGAAATCTGATCTCCCTCATGAAAGCTGGTGCCCAGCCAGGGGCTCCTACCCTGAGTTCCAGCTGCTGTTAGTCCTGGCTGGGGATGGGGAGGGACCAGACTTCCTCTTCCCCTTCAAGGGCTGTTCCTGGTGTGGGTCAGACCCACCTCTGGGATCTTCCCCAGCTGCAGGAAGCTCTGCGGCTCGAGGTGAGCTGTCACCTTCCAGTGCTGGCAGGAGAGTGCCGGGGTGACCGAACATATGGTAACCCACACCCCATATCATATGACTTTCACTTTGGCACTGGCGGTGGCGCTGGCTTTAGAGCAGGATGCCTGGCCAGCAAACTTCCTCTCCTGCTGCTCAGCTCTGAAGACAGTTTCTCTGCCATCAGCAAGGCAGAAGTAAGGGTGATAATCCCACAACCTCCCTATAATAACCTTGCGACCCTTTCACCCTGTCCACCTTTTGGGTTGGGAGGGACCCCCATGGTTACAGCATATGAAATTTCAGATGTAAAGATCTGAAAAGATGAAATTAACTAATTTTAAAACCCACTGGCTATGAAATTGACCAAAATGGACCATGAATTTGGTAGGGCCCGACTCATAAGCTTTTTAGAGCTGGGACTTGAAGTTGTTCTGTTTGTACAAGCTAAGCATGATGGGGCCCTGGTCTATGACTGGGACTCCTAGGTGCTACTGCTATACAAATAATGAATCATAATACTAGGGTTCTTTGCCAGTCTCTCCAACTCTTGTGATTTTTTTTATCATGAGTTTTGTGATATTGGGTTACTTTCTCAAAGCTTTTAGAGTTACATGAATATGCTAGAATCTCAGCTTTTATTAAAAAAAAAAATCCACAAAAATTCTAGCCTTCATGGTTGTGGAGATAAGCTTGAAAGCACAAACGCCCAAAAGGGCAAAAGCGAGAAGGAAAACAAAAAAACTCTACATGTCTTATTGTTAAAGCCAACCATGATCATCATAGAATCATACAAGATTAGGGTTGGAAGAGACCTCAGGAGGTCATCTAGTCCAACCCCCTGCTCAAAGCAGGACCAACCCCAACTAAATTATCCCTCCCAGCCAATGCTTTGTCAAGCTGGGCCTTAAAAACCTCTAAGGATGGAGATTCCACCACCTTCCTTGGTAACCCATTCCAGTGCTTCACCACCCTCTTCATGAAATAGTTTTTCCTAATACCCAACCTAGACCTCCCGCAAATCATGACCTATGATTTGAATACTTGGATTTGGCATTACTGAGGTGCAGAGCTAGAGGGTACCTCTTCTGGGTTGCCTCTGTGACTAGGCTTCCCAACAGACAGCTTCAGCAGTGCTGAAGTGCTCCAATATGTGAAACTTGAAGTTTTCAAACCATCATTCTGTGAAGAAAATTTAGATAGAAATTTAATGGGACACTGCCATTGTGTTGCATAGGAATATCTTGAAAACCCAGGTTAATTTTGTACTTAGTGTTGTACGTCCTGAATGTACCAAAATCTCTTTTAAGAGAAACCAACAAAACCAAACACTTCTGTACCACTACTCAAATCAGTTAGTCCAATCAAAAGGTAGGAGAATGTAGGATTCATAATGGATGTCTACCTGCATCCCTAAGTATGCAGTTGCTACTACTGATGCTGCCATAATAATTTGCAACTAAAATGAGAGCACTGGACTTGCTTGAAAGTGAAGTAAATCGGAGTTTGAAAGAGATAATTGGGAAGTATATAGGCAGGCCTAAACTTTGATCAACCTGTTCATTTCTTGGTACAAAACACTAGCAGGAACATTGTTTGGGCTTGCATGATGTTAAACCTCTCTTCCTGTTGCATCTTTCTGCTCTTTGCATGCGTTCTTAGACATAATCTTTTACGTTTGGTTTATTCCATGACTTTTGTACAGAGTCTTTTTTATTCTGCTGGTTTGAAAAATTTTAAAAAGAATTTTTTAATGATGGAAGCTTACCCTTTGCATTAAAAGCAAAAATAAATTAGTTTTTTAGGCTCTCAAGATTCCCAAAGGATTTCGTTCTATTTAGGTGATTTTATGCTTAAAAATGTTCACATTTAAAATAAATAGTAAGGACATAGAATGATTGCTCTACTTAATATGTAAAATTAAATGTAATGGGGCTTGTCCTTGAAAAGAAATAGGGGCTTTGACAGTACAGAGATGTACCCTGGGTGCTCTTAACAAATAATTTGAAACAGCCTTTTATGATTTAAAATGAAAATTATTGGACTGGATTGTCCATTGCCCAGCACTTTGGGTAGCAGTCATTTATACCAGTAGAAAGGGTATGGAAAAGGCTAGTAAAACAGAATGGTAATGATTTATGCTGACTTTGTATTGGTGTAAGTAAACGCACAAAAGAAATGATGGGTTGTTTATCTCTGTCAAGATACTTGGGCTGTCTGAACTGTTAGTTGTTCTCTTTGTACAATGATTTATCCTTGTAAAATCTCTTGTGGTCTGAAGATCCCCAATCTCCTTCCTTAGAAGTTTTTAAGGTTAGACTTGACAAAGCCCTGGCTGGGATGATTTAATTGGGGATTGGTCCTGCTTTGAGCAGGGGGTTGGACTAGATGACCTCCTGAGGTCCCTTCCGACCCTGATATTCTATGATTCTATGATTCTATGAAGTGTGGCAAAATGTGGTAGCTGCAGTTACAGTAGCTCTTGACTGAGAGTCTTAAGATTTAATGGAACTAAGATTTGATTATGATTTTTTTTGTATCAGTGTTCATTTCTGTTGCACAGTATGCAGTTTGTACTGCCTTCAGCTGTGTAATGAATGAACTTAGAAGTAGCCCATGTTGAATTCCACACTACTGAGAGGTGATCAGGGATCAGTTCTGAGTCCAGTTCTGTTCAATATCTTCATCAATGATGGCATAGAGTACACTTATAAAGTTTGCAGACAATATCAAGATGGGAGGGGCTGCAGGTGCTTTGGAGGTTAGGATTATAATTCAGAATGGTCTGGACAAACTGGAGAAATGGTCTGAAGTAAATAGGATGAAATTCAATAAGGACAAATGCAAATACTCTACTTAGGAAGGAACAATCAGTTGCACACATACAAAATGGGAAATGACTGCATAGGAAGGAGTACTGCGGAAAGGGATCTGGGGGTCATAGTGGACTACAAGCTAAACAGGAGTCAACAGTGTAACATCGTTGCAAAAAAAACAATCATTCTTGGATGTATTAGCAGGAGCGTTGTAAGTAAGATACAAGAAGTAATTCTTCTGCTCTACCCCACACTATTAGGCTTCAATGGGAGTATTGTGTCCAGTTCTGGGCACCATATTTCAGGAAGGATATGGACAAATTGGAGAGTCCAGAGAAGAGCGACAAAAATGATTAAAGGTCTAGAAAGCATGACCTCTGAGGGAAGATTGAAAAAACTGAGTTTGTTAGTCTGGAAAAGAGAAGACGGAGGGGGGACATAACAGTTTTCAAGTACATAAAAGGTTATTACAAGGAGAATATTTTTCTCTTAACCTCTGAGGCTAGGACAAGAAACAATGGTCTTAAATTGCAGCAAGGGGGATTTAGATTGGACATTAGGAAAAAACTTCCTAAGTATCAGGGTGGTTACACACTGGAATAATTTGCCTAGGGAGGTTGTGGAATCTCCATCATTGGAGATTTTTAAGAGTAGGGTAGACAAATACTTGTCAGGGGAGGGCTAGATAATACTTATTCCTGCCGTGAGTGCAGGGGACTGGACTAGATGACCTCTCAAGATCCCTTCCAGCCCTATGATTCTATGTAGGGAATGAATACTTTGGAAACAATTTCATGTTCGATGGTGCTGTTAACTTCACCATAATCACAAATTATGTTTTGTGTTACATATGGTCATTAAGAATATGGAGACTGATGTGATTTCATAAACCAATATTTTGCTGTTTACACTGTTTTACAAACTATATATTTAAAATAAACAAAAAAGGTATTAAACCTGGGGGGGGGGGGATTTAAGAGACCTAAGCCTTCCTTTTACATGTCTGTAAATCTTTTTGAACAAAAAATGTCAGTGGAATAGCTACTACTTTTCTTTTTATTTCAATTGATCTGAAAACCTAGTCATGAACAGTAGAATTTTGTCAAATGTCTATATTGTTCATGAAAACAACAAGGAGTGTGGTGGCACCTTAAAGACTAACAGATTTATTTGAGCATAAGCTTTTGTGGGTAAAACCCCCACTTCTTCAGATGCATGGAGAAGTGGAGTTTTTACCCACGAAAGCTTATGCTCAAATAAATCTGTTAGTCTGTAAGGTGCCACCGGACTCCTTGTTGTTTTTGTGGATACAGACTAACACGGCTACCCCCCAAATATTGTTCATGATCTTCCTAAATATACACTGGGAATGTAAACTATGTGGGAATGGACTGTGTCTTTCTTTTTATTTTGTATGGCACTGAGCAGGCTTCACAGGGAGGGCCATCTCCTGTGTGCATTTAATATTCATTCTTGCATAAATGTTTAGTTTTATAGCTTGGAAAATTGGAGTTTAAGTACTAAACATTTCATAATTTAGCAGGATGAAAGCAAAACCAAGCCAGAAGCAGTATGGCATTTTTAGAATGGCAAAATTTAAATGCAAGAGAGGGCTCAGAACAATCTGAATATAAAAAAAAGATTTGCTGGAGTATTTTGTCCATCAAAAATCATAAAAGTTTATAAAACCTAACCTGTGAGGAAAGGTTAAAAAATCTGGGCATATTTAGTCTTGAGAATAGAAGACTGAAAGGGGACTTGATAAAAAATATGTTAAGGGCTATTGTAAAGAGGATTGTAATCAATTGTTTTCTATGCTAACTGAAGGTAGGACAAGTAGTAACAAGCTTAATCTGCAGCAAGGGAGAGTTAGGTAGATATTGGGAAAAACTTTCTAACTATAAAGATAGGTAAATACTGGAATAGGCTTCCAAGGGAGGTTGTGGCATCCCTTCCATTAGGGGGCTTTTAAGAACAGACACCTAATGACAAACACCTATAAGGGATTATCTACGTATAATTGCCTCAGCATAAAAGGTTTCAGAGTAACAGCCGTGTTAGTCTGTATTTGCAAAAAGAAAAGGAGTACTTGTGGCACCTTAGAGACTAACCAATTTATTTGAGCATAAGCTTTCGTGAGCTACAGCTCACTTCATTGTATGCATACTGTGGAAAATACAGAAGATGTTTCATTGGAATCATACTGTGGAAAATACAGAAGATGTTTTTATACACACAGACCATGAAAAAAATGGGCGTTTATCACTACAAAAGGTTTTCTCTCCCCCCACCCCACTCTCCTGCTGGTAATAGCATAAAAGGGTGAACTAGATGACCTTTTGTCATCCCTTCCATCCATACATTTCTAAGATTCTGAAATCTAGATCGGTGGTATAAATATTGGTTGCCTGAAAAATAAACCATACAAATCTTTGAAGTATGATAGTTGCTGAAACTTTATTAAAAGAATCTGGGTGAATCAACTGGTCTAACTTCCTTTCATGTGAAAGAAAAGAAATGTTATACAGCTTATCAAGCTCTTTGCATGACAGGAGATTCAAGGTTGAAGGGAAGAAAGTCAGTGTGAATCTTGCTTACTGCAGCTCTGCTTATTATAGAGTTTGTCAGTACTCCAAAGGACTTTAGAACTGAATAGCAGTACAGCTGAAGATTGACTTGTATTATCATTAACTTCTTGCATAAAATTGATTAAATTGAGGAGCAACCCCTGTATTTAAATATCTAAATGCATCATTTCTGCTTTAGATTGAATTGTTCATGAAATCATGATTAATTGTTGAACATAAATATTAAAATTAATAAAATAGTGGTTGATCTTTTTCCCCTCTTTCACAAGTGGTTTGTGGTATCAAGAATGCTGAGAACCACAGTTTCAGATGAGAAAAATTCAAACTTGGTTACCTATAGTTAGGTATCTAAATCTATATTTTAGTGTCTAAATAAGAGATCCTTTTCAGAATCAGTGAGCTTTCTCAACTCCCATCGATATCAATAGGAGTGGAGTGCTCACTATCACTGAAAACTAAGCAGCTTCTTTAGGTGCCTAACTTCTGGCACCCAAGAGTGAAAACTTTGGTTTTACCTGAACCCATTATACTGGCAGTGGGATATACAGGTTTCATGTATATAATTGATTGCTCTCTTGTGTGTGTGTTTTTAAAGGTTTTGGAGTCAAATGAAGAATCAGGCTATCTTATTCTCACCATTGTTGTATCTGGCCATTTCTTTATTTCCCAAAGACGGGCAGTACAGGTAGGTTTTCAGTTTCATGTACTTAAATACATTTCTCAACTCAAGTTAGTAATCAGTCTTGGGTCTTTTGTCCTTCCTCAATTTAATGAGGTCTGTTACTGAAAGATATCTGTACCAATTTTACTTAGCACATGCAAATTCTCATGGTTGGAAGAAGTTCTCTGAACTTACCTATATAATACTTAAAGTGCACTTTTCTTTCCCTATTGAATAGTGGTGTTTTTTTTGTGTGGCTGATAAACTAAATTTAAAAAGTGTGGTGAAACTGTGCCACTGGTGTCAAAGAATGTCATTGTCAGCAATATGCTGGATACTTTCACATGTGTAGTTCACCTATTTGAGTACATCAGGTAAAAATGTAATTGAAAAATAGTTACATAAAATATGGTTTAAGTGGCGTTTAGAGTTCATCCTCAATGATGGGGGTGGGGAAATTGTGTTTTTAAATGGAGTTTAAATGGTTTAAAACACACCTTACGACCATGTGTAGACGGGTAGACTTTGAAATTTTTAGTTGGTTGTGCTGTAGCCTAGGTTACAAGCCAGCCAGCTTGTATTATTTAAATAAAGTCACAATGACTCCAGAGAAGCCAGCATCAGAGTCTCAGCCAGAACGAATCGGTTCTGTGCCAGGAGGGGCTTGTAGAACTCCTGGTAGGTAGCTTTAGACATGACTGCCTGGGTCTGTGCTGGGAACTGGGATCAGGTATGCTCAGTGTATGCAGAAAACTGACCAAATCCTGCTCTAGATTGTGCAGCAACATGGAGTAGAAACACTGCTTGGTGAATTTTTGCCATAGAAATCCTGTGGTCCAAAGCATTGCTGGGTGAGATGCTCTTCTAGAAAGGAACTACATGTTTATCTAACATCTGCCATGTCCTTGATGCTTAAATTTGGCTGGTACAGTTTTGCTTCAGTTTTACACTCCTTGTCCTCACCTTTAAAGAGTTACACAGCAGTGGCCCACATATGTACTATGTATTCTGTGTTCTACTAATTCTGCTTCCCTTATTTATTGTTCATTCACAAGCACCTTTGCTTTCTCTCACACTACTCCTTAGACCTTGAATGATCTCATCCCTAAAAGTTTCCCCTTTCCAATGTCTTTACAACAATGACCACACTTCTACACCAACCTTATAAAATCTAAACTAATGTTTACATTTTTAAAAAATGGTATTAACACAATGGGTATCATGCTAAAACAATCCAATGTTTTTTTTAACCTCCCTCTTGATGCTTTCTCTGTGTCGTGTAATATCTACTCTAGATTATAAGCAAATATTAAAATGATTAAACAGCTGCACTTAAACTTCTGTGGCTTAAATATGGTTGATCTGGAAATACCTCTATGGTTTGTCATCAAGACACGTTCCAATTCTTGCACAAACTATTCTGGATGTTGCAAATTTTATTTAGACTGAAATGACATTTTTTGTTTGCAGTATCATCTTTCTGGAGAACATCAACTGGTACTGTTCCACATAAGTTTCTGTTTTGTCTGATTTTCCTGAATTAAATGCCATAGAAAACAGCCTTTATTTAGATTCTAGAACCTTTTTGAAAAATCTTATTTTTTTGTCTAAGGAGGACCTTAAGGAATCACAGAACATAGGATTATAGGAGTTACAGGGTGGATTTGATTTAAATCAAATTGATTTAAATCACTGGGCAGGAAGACTTGATTTAATCATGGATTTCTACATAAAAATGCATTCTTGTTGGTTATTATAACCTTAATATATATTCTTCACAACTCAGATAGATGTAGGTTTCATTTTAAAACTGTGTAGCTTGTACCTTCTAAAAGTGATTTATTTTGAAAACTTTTCAGATTAGTTTTATAGCTATATCAGAAAATGAATGATTGTTTGGTTATTTCATTTACCAAAGGAAATTGAAGCAGAAATTTATGAAGTCATTGGGAGGTGAACTATCTCCAATTTAACAGGTTAATCATTAATATTTGGAGGATTTTCTTGCCATGCTGTATTAGGAGGAGAACATCACCAGACAGACATTTAAATTGCTTTATTTAACTAAAACAACAACATTTTGTATTCTGGATTTTTTTCTTTAACAGCAAACATAGTATTTTAACAAAACAAGCGTATGAATTTTTGAATTTTGTTAAACATTTGAGTTTTTTAAAATCAGGTTTGTTTTTGTTAAAATTGTTTTTAACTAAAATAGTTAAATGAAATATTTAAAAAACAAAAATTAAATCTACTATGTCAGCCGACTTAAAATATTGGCTCTCAGTCGTCTTCACCTTCATTTTCCTGTTTATTCATAATCTGGAAAAGAAAAACAAGTTTTCCTGCTTTTTCAGGTCCCAAACAATTTCTCCCTTAGCTCTGAAGTTCATTATAGTTGGCATTATGGAGGGGTGATTGCTGGATGTCCATGTCATAGCCAACTCCTCTTCTTCAGCAGCTAAGATTTGACCCTGGTACCAAGTACTGAGAATATTTGCAAAAAAATGAACTAGAGATAGTGCTTGTCCCATTTGTTTTTTTTAAATGCTTGTAATTCAACTCTGTCATTGCATATTTCTCTTTTTAAGATCTCACTCAGTTCCTTCAAAATTTCAACAGCATCAGCAATAAAGCAGCTGTTTCCCTGCATTTTGTTCAAGGCTACAGAAATAGGCTTCAGGATACTCAGCATGTGTTCAACATTTCTTTTAAGCCCAGTGTTGAGAACTTTGGCTGTGACAGTGCCAGCTATTTTTTTCACAATTTTCTTCACAAACTGTCATCAGCTTAGGCCAGTTCTTGATGTAGTGCTCAAAACAGTCCACTACTGAGTTCCATCACATGTCTTGTGGGAGAGTTAGCTTGGTTCCTCCCACTTTCTTCAGAGCAGCTGCTGCAAAGTGGTTGTTACAGAAGTATTTTGCAATTTCAACAACATTAGCCTTTATTTCTGGAACACTGAAGTCTTTGGCTAGGTGGTGCATCAAATGAGCACTGCAACCATATGTTATTAACTTGGGACTCTCTTCACTCTCTAAATTTCTTCTCATCTTGGACACATTTGCAGCGTTGTCTGTGACCAAGCTGTATACTAGACATTTGAATTTTTTGTCACAGTTTGTTATAGCTTTTACTGCTACTTCTTGTAAGTATTCTGCTGTGTGCGCATTTCCTGATGTATCAATTGTTTCTGTAAGGAAGACAGTCCCTTCTTCTGTTGTCACATAAGAACTGTGGACATTGCTCCACAACATTGTGGACACTGCTCCACCCATCAAGACTCAGGTTAACAATTTTACCCTCTAGACCTTTTGCACACTGCTCAATTTCTCTTTCATATACTTTCATCCAGCAATTTGCTTGCGACATCTGCTCTGTTGGGTGGACTATATCCTGGTCTTAGTGACTGAACTATGTTAATGAAGTGTGTGCTCTCAACTATTCAGAAAGGAGAGTCTGTTGCAACAAACCAGGCAATTTTTTCATCAATTACCTCTTTTTGTAATCTGCTGGTTCTTATCACAAATTTATCTGTGGTTGTTTCTGGATGATGAAGATTTTTTTTTCTTTTTGCTACAGGTAATATACTGTGGCTGTTTGACATACATGATGTGAATGAAACGCTATCATTGGCAGATAACTCTGAAACTATAGAAAATATTGGTGATCTTGAAGGTGGAGAGTCTTCAGAATCCTTGTATGTTGAGGATGGATTCTCCTAAACAAAATAAGTCAATGCAGTTATTTAATTATTATTACCATACTGCTCATTTAGTATTACTCATTGCATTCGCTGACACTCAGTACTACTTTAAAGGTTTCAGAGTAGCAGCCGTGTTAGTCTGTATTCGCAAAAAGAAAAGGAGTACTTGTGGCACCTTAGAGACTAACCAATTTATTTGAGCATAAGCTTTCGTGAGCTACAGCTCACTTCATCAGCCACTCCATACGGCTAAATTCAGTGCCTTGCATAATGACAGGTTTCAGAGTAGCAGCCGTGTTAGTCTGTATTTGCAAAAAGAAAAGGAGTACTCTCAAGTCCAATTTCTGTGTGTTTTTCATGGGTTTGGCATGTCTGCTCCTAGTCCTGAATTGTTGCATTTTTCTGTTTTTTTATTTCTAATTCAACTGATCATGTAATTTCACGTCCTCTAACATTAAACAAACAATAGACTAAACTGTTATGCAAGTCCAGCAGAGCACTGTAGAGACAAATTCTAATGAGATTTTTCTGGCTTCAGCAATGATTGAGGAGCTGGAGCCGAAAATAGGAGAATTTGATAGATTACATTAAAAAATGGGGGGGGGGGGAGAAATTTCCTTTGTTACAGTTGGGTAAAAAGGGGATGTAAGAATATTTCAAACGGCAGTTTTGCCTGTTTTAAACAAAAAATGAGTTCAACTGATGTTATACAAATGTTCAACCAGAATGGAATAAGGAACCAAATGCAGCTAAATCAGCACATTAGAGTGAAAATGGCTCACTCTGTATACCTCCTATTTTTCTTAATGTGATAAAAGGTTAGAACAAGACTGTTCTTCAGTGGTGTGTGGGTGTGTTCACTTTTATGTTGAAAATTTTGTGGATAGATTTTTTTTTAAAAGTCCACCAAGACATGAGAGTTAAATACTGAAGTCTGAACATAAAACTTCTATATTTTAGATGGAATTTACATCTCAGTTTACTATAGAAGAGTGATGAGTTCAAGTTTGATGAGACTACAAGTTTGGTTGATAAAGGTGTTTGTGTTGGTGTGTAATATACTTAGATTTCTGTAGGGCGTTTCACTTAGTACTATGTGACTTTTGATTAAAAGATACAAAATTAACATAGATGTATGAAGTGTATGATCTATGTGCTAAGAATGACTTCTGGGAGTATTTTGTGATCTACCACTGCCAAAAATATTTGTAAAATAATTATATCTTCACATATCCTATCACTCTTCCTTTTCTGCTAGGTAACCATTCATATTCTCAATTCCTGTTGCAAATTGTAGAATTGTGTCCATGAACAGTCA